GCAAGGGACGAGGGGGAGGTTCAGGAGGCGGGCTGGGGGAGGGCGTCTGAACTAAGCCCTGGGGGTACCACCCAAGGAGGCCAGTTGGAACCACAGGCTTCTCAGAGCTCAACCACCACTTAGTTGTTTTAAAGGGATATTTGTCTCATCTGTTCCATCGTTTAGCCTTTAACAGGAATGCCTGTTTTCCTGTCCACCCATCTGTCCATGCATTCAACAAATATTTGTAGTATATCTCTATGTGCCAGGCAACCTGTATTGGTGCCTAGTCCTAAGCTGAGGATTAAATGAGAAGATGCACACAAAGTGTTCAGCATAGTGTCTAGCTTGTTACCCAGCCCAAAACAACACAAATTTATCACTTCATGGTTCACTGGGTCAGAAGTCTGACAGGGCTCTCACTGGGATGAAGTCAAGGTATTGGCAGGGCCGACATTCTTTCTGGAGGCTCTTGGGAGAATTCATTTCCTTGTCTTTTCCAGCATCTAGTCCACCCTCATTTCTTGGCTCGTATCCTCTCATCCTATCCTCAAAGCCATAATGTGAAGCAGGGTTTTTCTCAGGCTGCTGACTCTTTGGTTCTCCCTTCCACTTTTAAGGAGCCTGTGATTACATTGCTCCCCACTCCCAATAATCCAGGATATTCCTCCTATTATAAAGTCAGCTGATTGACAACCTTAATTCCATCTGCAAACATAATCCTCTTTTGCCAGGGATTAAGACATAAAGGTCTTAGGGGAAGAAGACGGATCATTCTTCTGCCTGCTACAGTTTCCATTAATTTTTCTTGCCTGTTTCTCATTTTATTTGGTGATTCTGTCATAAAAATCATACTCTCAGATTTGGGGAGGATCCTTACCTAACTGACACTCACATTTTATTAGGGATATATTTGCCCACATCTAATAGTGGGGCCTTGAGAGCAAGGACCACAGGGTGGGTTATGTTTAGACAGAGCTGGGTGGGAGAAGCTCGGCTTTCTTCCAGAGTGGTGGGAGACAGTGAAAGTCTAGGGGTTGGGGTAAAAAGAGACTTTAAGCAATGGGGCCCCTGGGAGGGCCCATGGATGAGATTTGCCCACTGCCATTTTGCCAGGGACATGGAAAGTGATTGACACAGAGTCAGTGTTTTGTCAAAAACTGGAGGGCTGGCTAGTGAATGAGAGGGCCTTATGACTCTTGCACAGTTATCCTGCAATTGTGCCTCTTCTCCCCATCTGAGCGCCCCAAATTCCTACCCTTTAAGTGACCTGAAAATAGCACTAGAGGTTAATGAGAAAGCCCAGCCCTACTAGGTCCATGAATTCAACATGCATTCCGGAGGGTTACCATTTTCAGAGACAATTGGGAGCAATGCCAGGACCTCAAGGGATTGGCATTCCCTTAGCGGTTCTTTGTGCTAAACCCTGAGATAAAGCAGGGGCATCATTTAGTTGTATGCCACCCAGCATTGTTGACAGGGCCAAAAAAGCACCTAAATGCCCTCGTAGAGTATAATTAGTGATCTGGTCATCAGCTAAAGGTAGGTGGGTTTACCAAGAAAGAAACAAGAGATTAGGGTGATGGATGGAAGTCAGGGCCTTTTGCCAGCACCTGAAATGGAAAGGGAACCACTAGTTTCAGGGTCTAATGGGTGACAGTTTGTCTGAGTCAGCTCAGGGTGCTATAACAAAGTACCATAGACAGCTGGCTTATGAACAATAGCAACTTACTCCTCTGTTCTGGAGGCCAGAAGGCTGCGATCAGCCTGGTCTGCTCCTGGTGAGAGCCCTCTCCCTGGTTGCAGATTGCCATCTTCCCGTTGCGTAAGGACACTCATCCCTTCAGTAGGACTCCATCACTATGACCTGATTAACCCCCAAAGTAACCACCTGTTGGAGGTTAGGATTTCAACATGTCAATGGATGGGGGACAAACATTCAATCCATCGCACACTTCTTGCTCACTTAGCCCGGGATTGGATGGGGAGGAAGCATCATATGTGGGATATTGGGACCACACTGGAGTTATGCTTGATTCCTTCAATCGGGATAAAGTAGGAATACGAAAAATCCATTGTATTAAGTTACCCCAAGGAGATGATGGAAGAGGAGCATATAGTACTTCTGATCTATCTTTTAAAGAAGAGCTTGCCTTGGCACTAAGAGGATGTGTACCTAAGTAAGTCCATATTCCCTTACCCCATCCCCTGACCCCACTTTAAGCGCAGCCACTCCTTGACTACTCTGACCACCTTCTGGGTTTCCTTTGTTCTGATCCTGTCCCACCAGGAGATTGACGGCAACGCTCTCTTGTTGCTGAAGAGTGACATGATTATGAAATACTTGGGCCTGAAGCTGGGACCTGCACTGAAACTCTGCTACCACATTGACAAACTGAAACAGGCCAAGTTCTGAAGGTTTTCAAAAGATAGAAGCAAAATCTAGACAGCAGATCTCAAGATTATCTCCTGCCTTACCAACATCCAGCCACCATCGAAAACATCTAAAAACAGCAGACACAAAGACATGGTCTTTTCACAAAACTCTTGCATCTCAAAAATTCAACCTGGCCTATTTGAAAGGCTCCTTTGTGTTAATGATTTGCGAAAAAATTATAAAAATGCCTATTATTTGTAATATTCCCGATAGGTTGGTTGCCATTGAGTGGGACCTATTTTTACACTGTGAGAGAATGGGGAACTAAATGCTATCACCCAAGAAGGACCCTGGAGGGTTCCAAGGATGTAAGAAGAACCTTTGTCTCAGCAGGCTTTGGGGCAACGCCCATCACAGCACCACCTGTCCTTGACTCTGACCCCATGACCTATCATTGTGAGCCTTGCTTGATTCAGCTCTAGAAGCTGTCTTTGAGGATAAATGCCTCACCTTGCACTATCTGGAAAACTTGAATTCTTTTGCTCTCTGAAAGGGAAGAAAAAAAATCTTTTCTATTCCTAGTTATCTGAAGTACTGTGTTATCACACTAGAGGGCAGACTGCTAATGAAATTTCAGGACCCTTACTGCTGTAGCTTGAAAATTCTGTACTCAGTAGGTGGATTAGGGTTTCTGTGAACAAGATCTAGTCTACACAGGTACAGGGATTTTATTCCAAGGTCAGCACCACAGATTGCAACTTGGGAAGACCTAATTACCTCCCAAAGGTAACTGGAAAGAAACCGCCTTCTAGAAGTTTCTTGCACAAGCAGCAAAGGCAAGCATTTGGGAGTACATTCTTCCAAGATGGGGCTTTGGAGTTTCTTCCCTTCCAGGATTCTTATGAGGTGTCGATATGTTGGCACATCGAAGAGTCTTAGTGACATTTAGCCATGGGTGTTTCTTTAAAAAAGAAGAAAAATGTCTCGACTATGCTTTGAAATGGGAGAGTGTTGATTTCTAGTTACATTGCTGGATTATGTAGTTGTATCTGTGGCTAATTTTTCTAGTCCTCAACAAATACACAGACATGCTATTATTGGGTTGAATTCCATTTACAAATAGGTTTTCCCTCCTTGCTGTGGAATAATAGAAAAAAAATTGATTTTCTACCCCTTTGCTGCTGTGTCCAGGGAAGGACGACCCATCCACAATTTACTAGGCAGAAGGACAACTTTGCCTTCAGTCTTCTTCTCGCCCTCCTTCCTCTCTTTCCCTCTCTCTTTTTCCCCCCTTTTTCTTTCACTGAACAGAAAGCATATCTTCAAAATGAGTTTACCTTTGCCATGGGCATATTCTCTTCCTTAAAAATCCATAGTTGGAGGTGAGAGACGAAGACCAGGTTTTGCAATCTGAAGGGCGAGGACCTGAAAGAATCTCAGGGCCTCCTTTGACCCGAATACAAGTTAGAAAAGGCGCTCCCGCCTCCGGGAGGCAGCCTGAGCAGGGGGCTCGGCTGGAGAACGGAACAGGGTGGATATCAGCACTTCGCCCCTCAACTGGGTGCCCTTGTGCAGGACATGGCCTGTCCAAACTGGAGGGTAGCCCTGGGTGGATTTGCAGATTGATCCTCTATAAGCCGGTTAGAACTTAGGTGAAGATCATGAGAAATACTCCATGCCATGCTGTGTGAGTTCCAGAAACCCCATGACAACCCGTGTTTCTCACTCCACTATCTGTGCTCAACCCTCTGAAACTTGTGGTGCCTCTTCCATCAACATATACCTCACTTAGAGACTTTCAAAAACTTCCTACCCACCCTCACTCGCGCCTCCCTCACTACAAAAACATGAACATTGTGCCCCCAAATGAAAACCATCCCCAAACAATGTCAAAGAGATACTTTGAGTAGTTTTCTGGGACAGAGATGTTGCCATCTTAAACCTAGGAAAAAACTGGATCTATGCTCACGTGTAACTGCTCTCATGGAGGTGCTATCTCTTTTTGCATTAAACTTTAAGCAGGGCAGGTTGCAGAAGCCATGATATTTAAGGTCTGACTTTTTAAAAAAATCTCATTACTTTTAAAACGAATGCTGCTGTATCAAAGAATAGCCCAGGAGGAAATCCTCCTTTGCCTGTTTTTGCTCTGGAATGCAATTAGCCTACCAAATTATTGTAGCAGTACTGCAATAATAATTAATTTTCACTCCTTTCAAAAATCTTGTCAAACCAGGCAGCTAAATAGCTTAGCAAATGTAAAACATGCCAGGCCATTTCCTCTAAACAGGCCTTGAAGAGTCAGGCTGTGTGCGTCACTCTTGTCTAAATCTGAGCTTATTTGGGGCCTCACACTTGTACAGATGTGGTAGTTGTTACTTCGCTGTAGTAGCTTTGCTTCAGGTTGTGGCGAATAATGCTATAGTTTTGCGTATTTGCAAATTAGAGAGTGTGTGTGTATGTTCATGTTCCAAATATGTTCAATTATACGTTTCTGTTAAACACTTTTTTAAAAGTCTAGAGACAATTCTGTTGCCTAAGGTGTTTTAAATATTTCACGAAGCACACTATTCCTTTGGTGAAGTCTTCAGGTAAAGGAAGTGATGGGGGTGTGTGTGTGTGTGTGTGTGTGTGTGTGTGTTTGCCGACACTGTAGCTGGAAGAGCCTTAGGAAGTGACTGGGAGTAGATCACTATTCCATTTGCTATTGCCGTTGCTTGGTTAAATACGCCTCCCAGCTTTGCAGCGTGGAGGGAGAACCTGTTTACCATCTAATGCCAGCAGGGTGCGCCCTGGAGGCGGCTGGGGGCTTCTGTGTCTGCCCGGCACAGGCGATGGCTGAGGCCCGCTGTGACGCGGACCCCAGCCAGGGAGACCCTGGGCGGGGAGCGGCCTTCTTCAGCGCCCTGTTCACTGCCCACAGAGCGCGCACCGGGCCCCTGTCATTTCCCTCGCAGCAGGGCTGCCAAGCTTTTTTCCTTTCAGGAGGAGAAAGGAGTGAAGGGTTCCTCAGGGGAACCGACTACCACACTGAATGAGATGCGTTGTGAAGGAATTTGCTTGAGAAGGAAATCCGTGAGGGAGGGAAGACAAAACAATACATTTCTTAGGAAAATAATAAAAGAGCACCTCTTCTAACCGTCCCGCCCCTTTAAGCTGCAATAACCTATTTTTGTATTTAAGTCCTGTATGAAATATTTCTTTTTAAAAATTAAAATTATTTTCTAAATTGTTTTTTGAGATTGTTTGAGGAGAATTTTGTCATATCTCTGAAGATAACTGGAAATACCAGAGGTGACTAAGGGACTTGAATTTAGTCAGAAAGTCTTGAAAGATGAAAGTATGATGCTTTCTTTCTAAAGAAACAGCCAGGCTTTCCTGGTTGCGAGCAGAAGGCGGTGCTGTCTGACATTTGCTCCGACGGGGAGCCTTTCAACCCTTCTCCAAGGGGTTAGACAACGAGGAGATCTGACTTATTATTTTAAAATCTCAGATAATAAGACATGGGATTGTGAAGGAGTAGATGAAATTTTTTTAAACTGCAACATTTTGTTAAGGAGAAGGGTGAGACCTGCCCACCGGAGTGGTTTATTTTCTGCCACAAACATGCTTTAGGAGCTGAGTAGAGCTGTCCTGCCACGTTCCCCGCATGAGAGGACCAGGCCGAGAACCCCGGAGGTGACTCCAGCAGGTGGCAGACAGCAGAGCTACACACATCCCTGCGAGCGCCTGGTGCTGTCCCTCCAGCGGCGACACCCGCCACACCCACCCCAGCACCTGGGCTTCCGCCCGAGTCCCTAAGGTGCCACCGGGAAGAACGGAGCCTCCCTCCCAGGGTGTCCTTCCCTCCGAACCGAAGGTGATTCCTTCCCGGACCATTGGAAGCTGGAGTTTTGGAAACGTAGCCTTTATCTGAAAGAGAATCGCTCTTATTTATTGCCACCAGTCAGATATTACGGAAACATGTCTGCTAACAATTTGCTTTGTGTAATTTGTTCTAATGCTAATGGGCAGCAGCTGGGGCGCTTCCTGCGGTGAATTCCTCTGCGGTTGCGGTGTGATCACACATGGGCTCCGCCAGGCCTTGTGCTCCAGCAGAAAGCTCACGCCGGCCCTCCCCGCTCCAGGAAATTCCCCTGACTGAGAGCAAAAGCACGTTTTTACACGAGGACTTGCTGTTCTTGCTCTGCTTCCCCAGGCAGGGCCCCAGACCTGTGCTCTAAAGTCCCGCAGAAAGAGCCTGGGGTGCTCCTCATGCCCAGCGCTGAGTTCAATTTCCTCCAGAGGAAAAGACAGCACGCAGCTTAAGGATGACACCTCCCCCAGGTCCCTGTGCTGTCCCAGAGCTGATGTTGAGAGGACGGGGCATGAGAGAGTGGAGACACATTAGGAGCCAAAAGCTGGCTCGGCAGCCGATTCAGTAATGATGTCAGGCAGTGTGGGGGCAAAGCATCTTTCTGCCCAGAGGGTCTAAGTATACACTTAGGCTTGCTCTGGGCTGCCAGCCCACCACGCTCTGCCCTGTAGCTTGACTGCATGACCCGAGACTGAGAGGTGGTCCCGTGCACTAGAGGCTTATTGTAAAGACCAACACAAATGTGTTCCATTGGAGCCTAGTCTGAAACCCACCCAAAGCCTTGCTTCTCCAAATAGCTCACTATGGAATAGCAGACCCTCACTGGGTGTCATTTCATAGTAAATGTGTGTGACCAGAGGCTACCTCCATCATCAATGTAGCATCCTCAAACCTCAGGAAGGCTCTACCTCCCCATCCAAGTGCTGGCACACCTTCCCCACAGCCCTGAGAAATGGCTCTGCCTGACCACTTCCCACCAGGGAGTTCACTCTCACAGGAAGTGGCTTATTTCTATGTTGGACAGCTCTGGTTGTGAAAAGTTATTTCTCAGGGAGACACAGATGTCTGCGAATCAGACACAGACGTTTGAGATGAAGCCAGCTCTGCAATCTCTCTTTTTAACAGAGCTTGTCCGTGCAGTAACCACTCCTATAATACAAACTGACATTGGCAAGTAGATCCCAGCTCTACTGCATTGGGAGAGAGGAGTAGAAACTTGATATAAATGTAGAACTC